TAAGTATTCGAAATGCATGCTGAGTTTATACATAGCTTTAGAAAATATTTAAGATTGGGAAAACAAAATTATATATTTATGTTATGAATGTTATTTCATCAACAGTATAGAATGAAGGACAAAAATAGAATTAAGAAAGTGATATTGAATATTTTTGCAAAGATCCTAGAGGAATTATGAATGTTTTAGAGGTAAAAGAAAGGGAAGAGATTCAGAAATATTTGAAATACTTATTGAGTAAACCTGAATTCATTACTTATTGAATAAACTATTAAGTAGGAGAAACACAGCACGAGACAGACTTTCTAATTTAGGTAAATAGTGGTAACATTCACTAATATAATTAGCTTATTTGGAAACTGTTCATTTAAAGAGAACTCAGTTTTTTTTTCTCTCTCTTGTGGTCTGCCACTTGTGGCCTTGACCTCTGAGCTGAGAAGTTGGCAGCTGTGTTTCAAGAATTAGGAAGCAGGTGGGGTCAAAGAAGAAAATATAAAAAGTGCATGTGTGCTCTCTCTTGAGGAAGATTTCCAAAAGAAGCCTCATTATGTATCCACTTACATGCCATGAACCTATTGTTTTGTCACAGCCTTATCTCCGTGCAAAGAAGACTGAGTGTAAAATATTATTTTGTGCTTGGAAACCACATGCAAAGCTATCAATTCTGTTAGCATAGAAAGGAATGGAATCTAGGGCACAACTAGCACTGGATCTTAACGTGCAGTATCTCATGTCTTCTTAGCTTGGCAAAATAATATTCTAATATCTCCAACTTATTATGCTGCTTTCTATCCTTGACCGACAGACTTGAATAGCAGAGTAGTGGGCAACCACGTGTCCTTCTCTAATCTCAGCTTGTCTTCTAACTTTTCAATTATTATTTATAATTGTTGCTTTTCAGTGAAAACAAGAAGCAGCAAATGTAAAATACCTATCATGTATTAGCATCCTGTGATAGATTAGACAACTTATAAATACATGTTTATTTTAGAGGTATATTCTTCTTCATAGTAATATTTTTAATGTGGCATACCTGAATACTTTTTGTTTCTCTGTAAAAATAATGAAA